CAAAAGCAGTTTAATACACAGTGTCTTCAAGTGCACACGGAAGATAATTCAGGATAGACAAAGTGTTGGGCCATGACACAAACCTCGATCGATTATTTATTTATTTAGTTTTCTTTTTTATTATATTTTAAGTTCTGAGGTACATGTGCAGATCGTGCAGGATTGTTACATAGGTATACACATGCCACGGTGCTTTGCTGCATCCATCCCCCTGTCATCTACATTAGGTATCTCTCCTAATGTTATCCCTCCCCAATCCCCGCCCCCCAGATTTTTTAAAGGTTTAAATTGTATAAAGTATGTTCTCTACCCACAATGAAAATAAATTAGAGATTAGTAATAGAAGGAAGTTTAGGAAATTCAAAACTATGTGAAAATTAAATATGATTATTTATTGATTACTCCTGAATAATCAATAGGGCAAAGAAGAAATCACAAGGGAAATTAGAAAATGTCTGGAGATAAATGTAAGAGAAAACACAATATATTAAAATTTGTGATATGCAGCTAAGGCAATAAAGGGAATTTTAAAAATTTATTTAGTAGAGGAAAATTTACAGCTACAGGCATTTAGATTTAAGTAAAAAAAAAACTTAAATAAATACCATAATATTTCATTTTAAGAAACTGTAAAAGGGGAGAGAAAACTAAATCCAAAGTGAGCAGAATGAAGGAACTAATAAAGATCACAATGGAAATAAATGAAATAGAGAATAGAACAACAGTAGAGAAAAGCAACAAAATCAAAAGTTGGTTCTTACAAATATCAACGAAATTGGCATAATTGCAGCTTGACCCCATTGTCTTCAGAGAAATTAACTGATCACAGCATAGTTATAACTATTCTTAAAATGAGCATTTTACTTCTACTTTAATAAGCCATAGCATTAACTTTTTTTGCATTAATTTTTAAGGAGTCACATTTGTACTGGCTTTTATTAACTTGTCATCTATTGGAATGTCTAGGTCATTTTTCCCTTTGAATGTTAACCTCTGTTACTTACTTGAGGTTAAGCTATGTAAGCAAAAATAAGCTTAAATATTGTATATTTATTGAAAGCAAAAAGGAATCACATTTATGTATATTTATAGGTGTGTGTATATATACATACAAATACACATTGTGTGTATATATAATTATATATGCATTTCTGCTGTTACCTATAATTATTAGTCCTCCAAAGCTCCTTATCTCATATGCATGGGGAATCTCTCCTCAGGTTCCCCTAACCAGCCTCTTGTACTCTCCACTTTTGCAAATGCAAAGGACTCTGGGCTGCAACTGGGACCCAGTGCCCCCTTCCTTCTCAGTTGGCCTCAAAATCCCTGGATTATATCTGAAAATGTTAAACAAAATGCTTCCAATCTGGAGAGAGCTTGTACTGATTTTGAGAGGGACACATTAATTTCATGGTATTATTTATTTATTTATTTAATTTATACAGAAGAGTACATACAGATTCAGTAATAATAGACCAAACCATTACACCATAAGAAAATTCACTGAAGGAAATGATGAGCAGACTATTAAAAAAGTAGGGCTATGAAGAAAATGTCAATCCATATTAAAACAGCACATTACAGTCTGACTTACCTCTCAGCATGTCTGAGTTTCAGCATTATATCATTTTAACGATGATATCATTTCAGGAAATAATATTTCACATGCTGTGCTTACAAGTACCAATCTGGATAAACCTCCCTTACTTAACAAATGCTGTGGTACTGAGCCAAGAAACATAGACAAGCACAGTAAAGAGATAATAGTAATAAGTAAGAATTTTGCTCAAAACTATTGGCCTTTCTACTGTAAGAGTTTTTTTTTTTTTTTTTTTTTTTGAGATGGAGTTTCGCTCTTGTTTCCCAGGCTGGAGTGCAATGGTGCGATCTCGGCTCACCGCAACCTCCGCCTCCTGGGTTCAGGCAATTCCCCTGCCTCAGCTTCCTGAGTAGCTGGGATTACAGGCACGCACCACCATGCCCAGCTAATTTTTTTTTGTATTTTTAGTAGAGACGGGGTTTCACCATGTTGACCACGATGGTTCCATTCTCTTGACCTCGTGATGCACCTGCCTCGGCCTCCCAAAGTGCTGGGATTACAGGCGTGAGAGAGATTTTATTTTATAAGGCTGCATGCTTTACAAAAGAGCAAACCAAGATTCACTAACTTGTTTCCAAAGTTATCACCATAGCTAGCACACAAAGGTGCATAATTCACTTCAGTAACAAACTAGAAAAGACCATTTATAGTAATGTGTAAAACCAAAGTAATGCTACAAATTCGGAAAATAGATAAGAGTGTTAGAGGACCCAGCCTATGATCCTAGGGAATCAAAGCAAGCAGCATAATAAAAATGCACAAACTCTACCAGGGGAAAAAAAAACAAAACAGCTGGGCACAGTGGCTCACACCTGTAATCCCAGCACTTTGGGAGGCTGAGGTAGGAGGACTGCTTGAACCTAGGAGTTTGAGACCAGACTGGGCGACATAGCAAGACCCCATCTGTACAAAAATTTTTAAAAATTAGCTGAGCATAATGGCATGCACCTATGGTCCCAGTTACTGAGGAGGCTGAGGAGGGAAGACAGCTTGAGCCCAGGAGGTCAAGGCTACAGTGAGCCATGATCGCACCACTGCACTCCAGGCTGGGTGACACAGTGAGACCCTGTCTCAAAAAAATAATTAAAAAGAACATTGAAATGCATTTGAAAGGGACCAGTATAAAATAATTTGATAGAGTAGTATAATAATCATATATTTAAATTAGGTTCACAAAACTCAGAAGAACGATTTGTTAGTCTTCAGAATTGGGTCACAAACTCATACCTATTACACAAGAAATGCAACTTTGAGCATAGCCTTTAGGGAGCTAAGGAGACTTCATTAAAGACCATAGCAAGGATTTATAAGAAAATAGAAAGACAGGAAAGAGAAAAGTAGCAGATTCTTATGATAGTGTTATTGTAAAATATTAATATATTTCAAGTACCTGAATTCATCATTTCAAATAATTTTTGAAGAAATAACTGTTTAGGAATCATAATTGACTTCAAAGCCAGTAGCTTCCACTTATATTCCTTTTTTCTTCTTTTACTGTTCCAGGGTGAATCACTTATAGTCACTGTAGCCAATATTTGTAGAGTGTCAGCTGGAAGTTTTCTTTATATCATTAACACTTTCAGTTGATTCCAATCTGTTTTAGTAGCTGATATTATTATCAGAACATATTTAATTAATTCATTATGCCCACTGGTTGCTAAACTGTAATAGGGGAGAGGAACTCTAACCGTAATATACTAAAGATCAAAAAGATAACACCTGCTTCTTTTGAAACTATAGCTTATGAACTTCAGAACGGATCCTCATGTCAATTCCCTGCTCCTACTTCCAACAGAAAGTTGTGTGATGTCTCAGATGAACCAAAGAAAAGACAGAGTTCTGGTGGTGCTTGGAATTTCAAAATAGGATTTATATACAAGAAATTTTAGATTTAAATTACTCAGAGGGTTAACAATTCTTTTTTCACAAACACCCTTACTTTAGCAGGAGTAGGTGTTTTATATTAAACATCATATTTGAAAGCTGAGAACTCTTTTTCAGGAGATTTCCTTGTCATCCAAGGAAGAATATGGTTGGTATAGATTCATATATTGTGTTTACATTAGACAATCTCTACCATAGCAACAGGCTATTAAATATTTATATCAAGCAATTAGAATCTCATTTAATACAACAAATGTTCTTGAATATTACCAAAACAAAAATCTTTTCTTTGAAATTTTAATATAGGATGCAGATGCTTTCTCCTTCCTTTACATAATGATGGTCCCATTATACTTACCATATAATTGTCCCTTTAAATGTTCTGTAATTAATGGTAAAAGGCAAGTATAGCATACCTTTAGTCAAACATGGAAATATTGTATTACATACTTCATTCCTGCTTCTCTCATGCTCCCTTCTCACATACTGCCCTCCACACATAACATGTGTTAAGTGCATATAACAGTAACACTCAGCTCTTTGTCAGCTCTTCTAGGTGAATAAAGTTAACATGATGACCTCGTGCTAATAAGGTCATTGAGTCACCTAACAAAGATAAATTTTTCATGTTCATGAAAAAGGACAATTTTTTGCATATTAATCTTTAAAATACTTATAAAAGTATTTTACTTTAAGTTATTAATTTTTAACCAATCCTTAATGTCTTAAACTAGATGAATGAAACTGAAGGCTTTAAAAATCAAACTAAAGTGAATATATAGCATGAAATTATAGCAAAATATCAGTGTGCTACTGATTAAACAAAACCTAAATCAGAGCACTTTCCTATATCACTGTAGTCATACTGAATAGTGACTACATAAAATGAGAAACTGTCTACATCATATGAATACTATTAATGACAAGCCTTTTTTATTAAAATGGCAAGAACACAAATAGCTTATATCAGTAAAATACAGTCATATTCAGGCTCTAATATGAACATTACACCAAAGCCTATGGATAGATAAGGTAAAAGATTTAGGAAATTGGGGGAGGAAAGAAACATCACTTGTCTTGTTACACCACATTACAGACAGCTGCCACAGACCATAAAATAAAATGGCAATTAAGTTGATTGCAGTACTTGAAGGGACACTTATTAAAAATACAGATTTTAAAAAAAATCTTACATTCTTGACAGATATATCATCACCTACCTTTCTAAAAATAGTAGTAGTAAACACAATTGTAGAAAATGTATGTTACTTAGTCTTTGAGTGGTACAATACTATAGATTTTAAAACCCTGACAACACTCCTACTTTCTGCTGCTTCAATATCAGATTATGGCATGGAATTTATGTAAGGCTGGTTCTGAAATGGAATATCAGATCCCAGGCCAGTATCAGTAAATTGTTGTACAAACTTTCCAGCCATGAAAGCACAAATCACAAAGAAAAATATTAACCAACCAATTATTTGAGATACCAAGAAAGGAAAGGAAATCAGTTTTGTAAAAACACTTTGCCCTGTTTTAATAAACTTCTTTATTTACTCCGGATAGTGAACATAACAGTGTTCAATAGTGACGTAAGCAGATTTTACACTCACCATTACTGCATGGATAGAAAGAGCCATGTGCATTTTTGTTTTTATAAGTTTTCTCAGATCATTGCAACATGGCACATCAGAACAGAGATTCAGACACACAAAGTTAATAAATACATTTAACATCGCCAAGCATTTAAAAGATAAATGCAATCATGTAGCACAAAAAAAAATCAGTTTGTTACTTTGACCTTTCTCAGGGATGTGAAGAATCATTTCACGTCAGAAATCTCTGTAGCAAAGATTCCTATAAGAGAACAAATTATGCTGATTAATATTTTCAATTCAACTTTTTCAATATATGTAACAAATGTATTCTCATAAGTGTATCACTTTTGCTACATATAAGAGTTTTCTTCAGTTTCTATGAAGGAAAACAAAACACAATGTATTTTTTTCACTCAGTTTTCACAAACTGTGGTATATTCATACTATAGAATACTATTCAACAATTAAAAGGGATGAACGATTGATACTTACAGCAGCTTAGACGGATCTCATGGGCATTATGCTAAATGAGAAAAGTCAATCGCAAAAAGTTACCTCAAAATGACAGAATTATAGAGATGAAGAAGAAAGTAGGAGACAGGGAGATGAAGTGTGGGCATACAACTATAAATAGGCATAATGAGGGAGCAAATTCTTTGGTGCTGATGGAACAATTTTGCATCTTTATCATACTGGTGCTGTGTGTGGAGTGTAAAAAAAAGTACACATATAAACATTGTGTACAGTGCACCTAAAACTAGGGAAATCTGAATAAGGCCTGTAGACTAGCTAATCACATTGTGCCAATGTCAGTATCCCAGTTTGCAAGACATTTCATTATAGAAACTGGGGCAAGGATATGTGGAACTGTCTGTACTATTTTTGCAACTACTTATAAGACTATAGTCATTTTGCTTTTTATGTTTTAATTATTATTATCTTTTCAGACAGAGTCACTCTGTCACCCAGGCTGGAGTTCAATGGTCCAATCTCAGCTTGCTGCATCTTCTACCTTCCAGGTTCAAGCAAATCTCATGCCTCACCCTCCTGAGTAGCTGGGACTACAGGCATATGCCACCACACCCAGCTAATTTCTGCATTTTTAGTACAGATGGGTTTTATCATGTTGGCCAGGCTGGTCTCAAACTCCTGGCCCCAAATGATCCACCTGCCTCAGCCTCCCGAAGTGCTGGGATGCAATCAGGAGCCACTGCATTCAGCCATGACAGTGCATCTAAAACTAGTGAAATCTGAATAAGGCCTGTAGACTAGTTAATCACATTGTGCCAATGTCAATATCCCAGTTTGCAAGATATTTCATTATAGAAACTGGGGTAAGGATATGTGGAACTGTCTGTACTATTTTTGCAACTACTTATAAGACTATAGTCATTTTGTTTTTTATGTTTTAATTATTATTACCTTTTGAGACAGAGTCACTCTGTCACCCAGAATGGAGTTCAATGGTCATAATCATTTTTTAGAAGTACCTGCGGTACATATATATTATGGAATACCACTCAGCAGTTAAAAGGAATATGTGACAACTACGAATACATGCAACAACCTGGATAAATTTGAAATATATTGTGCTGGGTAAGGTCAACCACTAGAGGCTGCATACTGTATGATTCTATTTATATGACAGCTTGGGAAAGGCAAAACTAGAGGGATGGGGAACAGAGCAGTGATTAGATGAAAGTAAATTCAGTGTGACATCTGTTGTCTAGACAATAAGTGGCAGTCAAAGGACACCATTTGAAACTGAAAGTAAAAGGTTAAGTAAGAAGAAATGTGATTAAGAGCACTGTTAAAAGTATTAATTGAAGGTAACAACTGAAATAAAATAAAATCTTCCTAAATGCCAAAAGAAATTGGTTAAGAAGCAAAGAAGACTGACCAAATGAAGAAATACAACAAATATCACATAATACAGACAGTAATTATAAGATAACTGGGTTGAGACCATTACTATTGATGTGACATAACAGTCATATCAATAACATAAAAGAGTTTAACTCATCTATTTTGTTTATACTATTCTATTCTATTTTTAAGACAGGGTTTCACCCTGTTGCCCAGGCTAGAGTGCAGTGGCATGATCATGGCTCACTGCAGCCACAACCTTCCAGGCTCAGGCGATCCTCTCACCTCAGCCTACCAAGTAGCTGGAAATATAGGCCCATGCCACCAAATCTGGCCAATTGTTTTTGTATTTTTTTATAGAGATGGGGTTTCACCATTGCCCAGGCTGGTCTCTAACTCCTGGGCTCCAGCGATCTGTCTGCCTCAGCCTCCCAAAGTGCTAGCATTACAGGAGTGAGCAACCATGCCCAGTTTAACTCACCTGTTTTTAAAAAAGATTTTCAAAATGGCTGGGTGCAGTGGCTCATGCCTATAATCCCAGCATTTTGGGAGGCTGATACAGGTGGATCACCTGAGGTCAGGAGTTTGAGACCAGCCTGACCAACATGGTAAAACCCTGTCTCTACTAAAAATAGAAAAACTAGGCTAGGCATGGTGGTTCACACCTGTAATCCCAGTACTTTGGGAGGCCCAGGCAGGTGGATCACCTGAGGTCTGGAGTTCAAGAACACTCTGCCCAACATGGCGAAACCCTGTCTCTACTAAAAAAACAAAAATTAGCTGGGTATGGTCACGGACACCTCTAATACCAGCTACTTGGTAGTCTGAGGCAGGAGAATCATTTGAACTTGGGAGGCAAAGGTTGCAGTGAGCCAAGATCGCACTATTACACTCCAGTCTGGGCAGCAAGAGTGAAACTCTGACTCAAAAAAAAAAAAAAAAATCACAATGACTCATGAAGCAAAACTCAAATCCACACTGTATATAAGAGATATACTTAAAATGTAGTTACTCAAAAAAGCTAAAAATAAAAATATTTACAAGGTAAATAGAAACAATAAGAAAATAGAAGTTGCAACTCTTATACCAAAGTAGAGTCAAGCAAAAGAAAAACATCTAAATGCATCTGAAAAGGATATGTTATAAAAGCCACATTCCATGATGAAGAGTGACAGTTCAGAATATCAATGCAACAAATAAAACAGCAAACCACCTATATAAAGCAAAATTTAGAGGATATGCAAAAATAAATAAAAACATACTAATAACCGGAGACTTTAGAACACCACTGTCAATATAAAAACAGATCAGATACCTTCTTCATGAACTAGAAAAAAGCACCTTAAACATCATATGGAACCAAAAAAGAGACCACATAGCCAAGACAATCCTAAGCAAAAGGAACAAAGCTGGAAGCATCATGCTACCTGACTTCAAACTATACTACAAGGCTACAGTAATCAAAACAGCATGGTGCTGGTACCAAAATAGAGATAGAGACCAATGGAACAGAACAGAGGCCTCAGAAGTAATGCGACACATCTACAACCATCTGATCTTTGACAAACCTGACAAAAACCAGCAATGGGGAAAGGATTCCCTGTTTAATAAATGGTGTTGGGAAAACTGGCTAGCCATGTGCAGAAAGCAGAAACTGGACCCCTTCTTTACACCTTGTGCAAAAATGAACTCCAGATGGATTAAAGATTTAAACATAAGACCTAACACCATAAAAACCCTAGAAGAAAACCTAGGCAATACAATTCAGGACATAGACATAGGCAGGGACTTCATGACTAAAACACCAAAAGCAATGGCAACAAAAGCCAAAATAGACAAACGGGATCTATTTACACTAAAGAGCTTCTGCACAACAAAAGAAACAATAATCAGAGTGAACTGGCAACCAACAGAATGGGAAAAAATTTTTAAGAGCTACCCATCTGACAATGGGCTAATATCCAGAATTTACAAAGAACTAAAACAAATTTACAAGAAAAAAATAACCCCATCAAAAAGTGGGTGAAGGATATGAACAGACACTTTTCAAAAGAAGACATTTATGCGGTCAACAAACATATGAAAAAATGCTTATCATCACTGGTCATTAGAGAAATGCAAATCAAAACCACATTGAGATAACAGCTCATGCCAGTTAGAATGGCAATCATTAAAAAATATAGAGACAACAGATGCTGGAGAGGATGTGGAGAAATAGGAACACTTTTACACTGTTGGTGTGAGTGTAAATTAGTTCAACCATTGTGGAAGACAGTGTGGCAATTCCTCAAGGATCTAGAAATAGAAATACCATTTGACCCAGCAATCCCATTACTGGGTATATATCCAAAGGATTATAAATAATTCCATTATAAAGATATAACAATAGCCCTTAAACCTATGAAAAGATATTCAACCTTACTCATAATATGAGAAATGCAAATTAAAACCACAGTGAAACACCATTTCTTATCTGCTATAGTGGCACAAATTCAAAAGCTTGACAGTGTGTTCTGTTAGTCAGGCAGCTGTGGGGAAACAGTACTTTCACACATTGCTGAAGGGATTGCGGAATGGAGGGGAAAGTGGCACTGTCCAACAAAACTACATGTGTATTTACCCACTGACCCAGCAATCCCACTTCTAGGAATTCATTCTGAAGATACACCAACAACATGAAAATATATCTGGACAAGATTATTCATTACAGCCTTGTTTGTATTTGCAAATTATTGGAAACTACCTAAATGTCCAAGTTTAGGTGGTGGGTTACATAACTATGGTACATCCATATACTGGAGTAGCATGCACCTGAAAAAAGGAATAAGGAGAATCTCTATGAATCAGTATGGAGAGATTTCCAGGAGATAGTGTTAAGTGAGAAAAGCAAAGTACAGAGAAGCATGCTATTTTTTGCATAAACAAAAAAAGACACATATTCTGTGTATCATTAGCATAAAACCACAAAGAAAGGGGGTGGAGGCATGATGATGGGATGGAAGACATAAAGAGAAAGTGACACTTCTCTAAGTATTAGCTTTTGCAGAGTTTTGACCTTGACAAGCATACTAACCTAGATATTCAAAAATAAAATCAAGTTGGAAAAAAACTAGGAAGTGGAAAAATGAAAAATGAAAGCAAACTGAAACAAATGAATCCAATATTATTTCAAATGAATAGTATGACCAAAGTAAAAGATGTAAAAAAAAAATTAATCCAAGTAAGTTACAAACTCAGTGTTTAACTGTATGCCCTTAAGACTTAGGCAAGGTAGCGTAACAGGTGTAAGAAGGAAGAACTACAGATTCTGAATTTTTAAAAAGTTGGCCTGTTTACTGTGGTGACATTGGTGAAGAAATTTTTAAACCACTGTAGATGCATTCTGGGATTGAC